CCCTCTTAAATGATCTTCAGCTCCTTCTTTTAAAAATCAAATTATTCAATTCCTAGAATCCCAAATAAAGCAGATTTGGGGCCAATTCTTCTTAAGCCAAAGGAAACTCCCTCTCCTTCTTTAAAAAGGGCAATTATTCTTCTAAAAAGTGCTACTTAATCTCTGTAAATACTTTAATAAGTAACATGTGATGTGGACACAATAGTATAAATCTCATACATAAGACAAAAGGAACAAGTCCGAAAGCCCTGTCTGCAGTTGAAGCCACAGAACAGTGGTTCATTAAAGGTATGCTGACATGATGGTAATATGTCAATCCTGGTCCAGACAAATGGGTACTTAGCCATATACTTTAGGAGATCTCTGATGACCAGCCAAAAGAAGACCATAAATAGATCTCAAATAGTCTTGTTATGAAGTCTGTCTTGGTTAGATGGGAAAAGGGAGAGTGATATATTCTCAAGATACATGTTAAACTCAGTTGAAAACCTTGAACCAAAAATGTTAAGTGTTAAAAGAAACATCTATGGTCTAGAAATGATTAGAGAGGATGGATGTCTGGTACTAGTTAAAGGGGATATTTTTGTGTAAAACTTAGAAATTGGTAAACAAGTCGGTCTGAGAGTCTGATACTTGTTGATTGAGTGGTTGACAAAATATTTCATCAGGAAGCAATAAAGGGCTACACTAATTGATCATCTGATCAACAAGTGTTTATTGAACACTTACAATGTGCTAAATTGTGTAGTAGAAGATTGTGATCTAGTTGAGGGAAAGGAAAATTTAAGTTGAGAAAGGGGTTTATTATAGACTAGAGAATACAAAAGCTCAATGGAGGAAACTGGGCATGAAAGTGGACTCTCCTTGAAGGAGAGGTATCAGAGGTATATGGTGCTGTGAAAGGAATACTAGATATGAAATTAGAATAGCTGCATACAAATTTTGACTCTGCCATATTACCTTAAGCAAGTCACCTAATTTCCTTGGGCCTCATTCCCCATCTTTAAAACAGAATGGTTGGAATGCATGAACTTTAAGGTCTCTTTCAGCATTAAATCCTATGATCCTTTGATTTGGATAAGGAGAGAGGAAGAGGGTAGGCATTGTAGGAGTAAGGGGAAACCAACATGAACAAAGAGACTAATAGCATGGAGTGTTCAGAGAAGAGTAAGCTGATAATTATTACTCTTCAGGAAGTAGATGAGAAAAGGTGTGTGCCTACCTGAAGGTATATCTATTGAAATCAGAGAGAGGAAAATTTAGGAATGAAAGAAAGTACCACTTAACACAGTGGCTAGTGGATTTAGGGAATTCATTGTCCCAAGGAATAACATAACCTCAAAACAGAAATAGTACCAAAAAAGACTTGGATAAATTTATGAGCAATAGCTCCAAAGTGAGTAATTTATATCCTTGCTAATGATACTAATCTAGAGTTTTACAGTTTACAAAGCATTTCATATATATTATCTCATTTGATCCTTATAATAAATCCATGAGGTAAACATGGCAGTTGTTGTTATCACCCTAGTTGTACAAATGAGGAGAGATGTTAAGTTATTTACCCAAGGTCACATGACTGAGAAAGACAAAGCCAGGATTATAACTCAGATCTTTAGTTAGTCCAGTAGTGCTTCTACTCAGGACCAATGTTAAGAATGTTTGTGATTTGAGAGATATTGGCAATGCCACCCTGAACCCAAAGGCTGTCCCTCCACTTGCCATGCCTCATTGCTCAGGAAGACATTACTTCCTGAGATATTAAGGACCTGTTAAAATTTAGGTGTTATTTAGGAAGGGTAATACATTAAGTACACATTTAGAATACTATGTCTATATATAATTGATATCACACTTCTTGCCTTCTTGATGAGCAGGGAAGGAACTGGAGGGAAAGAATTTGGAACTCACAGTTTTTTTAAATGAATGTTAAATAAATAAAGTAGATAAATGTAAAACAAGGAATACTTTGTCTAGATGTGGGCATCATATTTTAAGAGGGACATTGACATGCTGGAGTACATCTGTAGAAAGGCAGCCAATAAAGTGAATTGTCTGGAAACTCTGTCATATGAAAAGAGACAAAATATTTCATCAAGAAGCAGTAAAGGGCTACACTAATTGACCATCTGATTGTGAAGAGAAGACTCAGGACAATGGTACTTGATAGTTGTCTTGACAATTTCTGGGCTGTCTTGTGAAAGAGAAACTATACTTGTTTTCCGTAGTTCCAGAAAACAAAATTATGCCCAGAGGGTGGAGACATCAAGGTTTAGTGGATACAACTTTGAACTGGGAGTCAGAAGACCTAGGTTTAAGATCAGCATCAAATATTAACCATGTGACCTTGGGTAAGTCAGTAACTTATCAGATTCTCAGTTTCCTCATTTGTAAAATAGAAATAATAGTATTTGTATTACCTACCTTAAGTGGCTGTTGTGATATATGAAAATGGGATTTGTGATTATGATAGCTGGTTTCACATATTTGAAGGGTAGTCACATGAAAGAAATTAGACTCATCTTTTTTGTTGACCCCAGATGGGAGAGAGGAGCAGTGGGTAGCAGTTTCAGAGAAATAGATTTAGGGTTCATGTGAGGAAAAACTTCTTAACAATTAGAGTTAGCCAAAAAATACAGTAGGTTGTCTCACAAGGTAGTGAGTTCTCTTCACTTAAGGTCTCCAAATAGAGGTAAAAGGACCATTTATTGGGAATGTTGTAGAGGGGAGTTTTGTCAGGTACATGTTGGACTAGATGCCCCCTAAGATCCCTTCCTTCTCTCCAATTTTGTCTTCATTTAGTAGTGATCTGAAAGCTACAGGGAGCAATTTTTGAGTTAACATAAAGAAGAGCTTTCTAATACTTGGAGCTGTCCAACATTAGAATGAGATGCTCACCATCACCTATAAGGTTTAGAAGCTTGGTGTTTCAAAGAGGAGCATGAGGGGGAATTTCATCATCAGATAGAAGGCTGCACTAAATGACCTTATAGAGTCCCTTCTAACTCTAAGATAAGCCATTTTAATAAACCAGTTCCCACCCTAACTTCTAATTTATCATAGTAACTATAAGTCAACCACCTATAAGAATTTCAAGGGAATTTTATCCCTTGATAAGAAGAGGGAAAGGTTTGGAGTAGTCCTCAAAGGGCACTACAGTGGAATTCTTTGGGCAGTGTAAGAGCACTGAACATATAGGTAAGGTGGGTATCAAGGTACCAAAAAGGAAGTACAAGGAAATAATAACAACCTCTCAGAAAAACTGCTTTCACAATGCATTATCTCATTTGAGCTTCACTACAATGTTGTGATAGGCAAGATAGAAAACTAGGCAGGGGGCTAGATTTGAAGACCTGGGTTCTAGTCTTGGCATTAGCCATTTGCTATATAAGTGACATTGGGCAAATCTTTAAAAGCCTCATCTGTGAAACTGGAAGTGATGACATTTGACTTTCCCATCCCACAGACAGGGTTCTTGAGTGCAGTTGAACTAGATGCTATCTAAGGCCCCTACTAGTTGGGGAATTTTAAGATCAAATGTTTTAAGATTCCAAGATAATGTATGTAAGCAAGGCACACAAACAAAGGTACATTTTTGCAGAAGAGACTAAAGCCCCCAAAGATTTTCATTTGCCCAAGGTCATATGTAGCTAGTAAGTGACAGAGCCTAGGACCACCATCCCGACGCTGACTCCCTCCCGATTCTGTACTCTGTAGGTCATAACATGTTGGAAGGCGATGGAGAGGCCCTGAGGAGACCCTTCCTCTACTTCGCTTTCCTACTGCTAATTCTGTTTGGGGTCCACCCCCTAATCTTGGAGATGAAAGCCTAGAGAAACCATGATGGTCCACTCCTGAATGTCCCTTGATGTCACTGTCAGCAGCCGAAATCAGCTGGATGGGACATAGGTGTGACCCAGTGTGGCGATTTTGATATTAAGGATGGCGCAGGAGCCCTTAGAAGAAAAGGGGTGTCCTCCAGAGGGGTGATGGAGGAAAGGGCCCGGTGTTGATTGGAAGTGTGCCCCCTCTGAGCCCGCTGGCAATGGGCGAGTGGGGAGTGGGGGCACAGGACAACCTGGTGAACAATTGGCTGGGCTGGGCTGCTGGCTGAGGAGATAGCTTCTCGGACCGAGAACAAAAGAGGAGCTCCGGATAGCGGGCTCCGGAGTAGGCGCTCCAGTCCGGCTCCGGCTCCTGTTCTGGGAGGAGGAGGGAGGAGGGGGCCTGATGAGTAGCGGCTGGTGGGGGTGGGGGCGCTCGGGTTTCACTGGGTAAGGCGACCGCGTACCTAGAAATTAAGCGGCCGAAGATGGCAAGCGCGGGGAGCAGCCGCGCAGGGAGCGCGGGCGGGCGGGCAGGAGGGAGGGAGGGAGGGAGGGAGGGAGGGGGTGGGGGGAAGGAGGGAAGGGGAGGGGAGGGGGAAAGGACGGCGGGCTAGGGGGTGGGGTGGGAGGGGAGATGCTGAGGGCGAGGGAGAACAATAATAAGATCGTGTTGGCAGCCGCTGCCCGAGGAGGAATTCAGAGCGGAACCCATCCGCGCCCTCACCGGGCTGGGGAGGGAAGCCCGCCGCCGCCGCCGGCGGGGGGATGAGGCGGACGACGCGGCGGCTGTGACCAGCGGGCGGGCTCGCCTCCGCAGCTCGTGGAAGGAGCGAAGAGCCGCGGAGCTCGGAGCCGCTGGGACGCGCTCCCTCCTGGACGCCGCGGGGTGACCGCGCGGTGGCCGCTGTGTCCCCTCCCCCGCTGTCGGGGGCTGTGATTTGCCGGGGCCTGGTCCCCGTCCCCCTCCCCCCGCCTCGTCCTCCCGCCCCGCTCCCCGCCCCCTCCATCGCCGAGGCTCCTGCCGCCGCCGCCGCCGCCGCCACCGCCGCCGGGGGAGAGAGGAGGCATCGGCCGGCCGAGCACCTCCGCCGCCGCCCCGAAGCCGCTTCCCTTCCCGGCCCGGGCCCCGGCCCCGCCTCGCCCCGTCGCTTCCCTTTGCTGTCCCGGCTCCGAGGCCGGGGGGACGCGCGGGGCGCAGCACGCAGGGGGGGGCGGCCCCCCGGGATCTTCGGCGGCGACATTTCAGGGAAGCAGAGGCGGCTCCGGATGGCGCGTCCGCGGCCCCGCGAGTACAAGGCGGGGGACCTGGTGTTCGCCAAGATGAAGGGCTACCCGCACTGGCCGGCCCGGGTGAGTACGGAGCTGGGGAGCGGGCCCGGCGGGGGCCCTGCGGAAGATGTCTCTGCGCCCACCATTTTCCCCCTTCTTTATGGCCGCAAGGATCCCCCTCACCTACCCACTCACCCACCCACCTGCCCTCCTTTGCGGCCCCCGCGCCCACCCTGCCCCTCCGCACCCGGAACCAGACGAATGAATCCCTGTCCTCGGTCTGAGGATTGCGAGCCTCCGACAGCCCCGATAAAGGAGCTGGAGCGAGGGGCTCGTTTTCTGTAAGCAAGGCGATGGAGGTGGAGGGCATCGGTTTAGGGGCTTGGCAGTGCTGGGGGTGTTGATGCTTGTAGGATGCACCCTTCTTGTCCCCATCTTCCCCTCTTCCCTTTCCTCCTCCCCACCTCTCACCCCCCCGCAGAGAGGGCAGCCATCCTTTCTTCAGTCTGTAAGTGCACCAGCAGCTTCCGAAGAAAACAACTGCCCTTCCCCACAAAATCTGCCACACACCGGTAGCAGCCACAGGCCCGAATGGTGCCTCTTATTCCGGAAAGTATCCGGTGATTGGGGAAATACACTTGGGAAGAAAACAAGGCCTGTAAAACAAGCCTGTTTTTGAAGCATCAACTCTTTCCAGGGTTGTTCATAAATATTCCAGGTTCTAGGCAGCCATCAGAGCAGGTAGGATCGGTGCAAATGGATTTCTAAATAAGTTAGGTAAATATTTGGAATAATGTATCCCTGGTGTTAATCCAAAGGAAGATATGGGATTCTTGGCAGTCATCCATCTATCTTTCCATGCACCCTTCAAAATCTAGACTTGTTGAATTTTCACTGGGCACAGGTTATGGTACTATATGTCAGTTGGACTACTAATTTGCATTTGGGGGTTCATAGAGCTGTGTTCTCGTCTTTCCTTTTAAATTGGCCTTGAATAACAGGAAGCTTGCAAACTGTCACTGAGTAAAAAGCCCAATAAGCAATTTTTCACCTCGTTTATTATAGCTACTCTATACAGCAAGTTGGCTTTCCATGCTTCACTCTTGTCACCCGTATACTCCAATAACCGTTTGTGTGTATGTGTTTTTGGCCCAGTGCTCTCTCTCTCTCTAGAAAGCATCTGAGTGAATTACATATTCATTGCTTTCCCACTTGATTGGTTCTATTAGGTGACAATGATTGATGCTGACTGTGTCATGTGTGCTTTAATGAGTTGAAAGTTGTGCATTTTTTGGTCCTGTCTTATCATTTGCAACTGATAGAATTAACAGTATGAGGAATACATTGAAAAGGAAGGTTAAGGAGTCTCAAATAATATTAATTGACTTAATAAAGTGGGCATAGGGAAAGTTAGTTGTACTTAGAAAGTATGATCCATAAAACATTCTAAGTCAGAGTTAAATGAAAAATGCAAAACAAGGAAATAAAATACAAACATCTAAGGAGGATATGGCATCAAGGAGGGCCTAACAGAAACTTAGTGAAGTAGAGATAATCAGTGGATAGGGCTGGGTTTTTTTTGAAAACATACTGAATAGAAGAAGTCACTGAAATAATAATGGAGAATATAATGTTCATGTCTATCTTAACTCATTTTGGGTAGCAGAGTGTCAAAAATCATTTGTTCTTTCCTTGTTGAATCTATATTACTCCACTTAAAATTAAGTGTTCACATTAGAACTGTTATTTCTAATATTCAAATAACCATACTGATTTTTAAAAAAAGTTTATTACAATGGGAATGAAATGGGTAACCCTGTAAAAAGTAGGAGAGTAAGAAGTGTTATTGTGGAACATAAGAGGAGGGCAACCTACATTCAAGTAGAGAAAAGGGACTGCAAAACTTAGTTGCCAAAAAAGGACCTGAGCATAAAATATACACCACTTTACTGGATAGTTATGATTTTTCTCCAGTATGACCATAGAAATTATTCTATAATAAGATTGCTTTTTAAATTCCTTCCTCTTCTCCCCACCCTCATATGGTGGGGGCAAGGAGAGAAAGACAATCCCCTAAGAACTAAAAAGAAAAAATAAAGGAAATGGAGGTAAAAGGCCACAAACACTAGAAAACTTAAACGTATCTCCTACTATAGGATACCAATGTCCTAGATGAAGTGAACAAATGGACACAAGGAAAATAATCCCTAGTATGGTATTTGGTCTTGGTAATTGTGTCATACATTTCAGGAAAGTGATAGCCAAAAGAAAAGCATAGGTACACTTTTTGGAAATAAAAAAGAAAACTAGGAAACTAAAGAAGCAGGTAAAAGAGGTGGGGCAGTGGCGGGAAGAAGTAGAAAGGAACAATCTGTATCGATCCGTGTTTCTAGTAAAAGCAACTTGTGAGTAGGAATCGGTTCTTTAAAAGTTCTGTACTTTGCTGTGAAGGCTTAGTAAATGATAGTAATTGGATTCTAAGAGTATTGTTAAAGTGGAACATAGAGTATAAGAAGTTCAAGGCTCAAAGTGATTCATTCCAGCAATTTTGTGGTTATACAGGGAATCTCTCATCAGCATTAGCTTCCAGCAACTTTTATTAAGTGCTCAAAAATAAATGTTATACTTAAACACAAAAGTGAAAGCAAAACTATTTGCATCATCTTTGTGTCACTGCTGGGTCACATCGAGTGATGAAGATTTGAGAGTCAACAAAGGAATACCTGATTAGGACTAAAAGAAAAGGGGCATTTCCCATCTTCTTTTGAATGTTGTGAACTGCAAGAGAGTAAGAGATAAAAAGACAAGACAGGTAGAGAGATTAAAATCTGCAACTTGAAAAAGAACTGTGAACCCTCATAATCTTCTCCACTATTACAGAACAGCAGAAGAGAAAGTACTGTTCAAAATACTACTTGTAGGTAGAATAGGGAATTACCTTGGATGTTATGATTTAACTAAGAATTTTATAAACAGGGAATTGCATTTGACAGATTTTTCACAAATTATGGGAATTCTGGGCTTTTATGAACTTATGATATTATATTTTAGCTCATAAAAAGTCAATTTGTAAAATTAGTCAAATCTGGCATGAAGAATGAACAATTTGAACATATGAGAATGTTGTGGATATCAAAACTGAAGAAAGTGATATAAGATAATTTGATTTTGTGCATTAACTTCCAAATTCCATAAATCTTTTCAAAGTGATCTCTGCAGATTGAGTCATGGTAGATAGCTAGAATGCTGGTCTTGAAATCAGGAACCCTGATTTTTAAAATCTCATTCAAGATACTTAATAGCTATATGATTAGGCATGTTTGAGCCTCTTTGAGGCTCAGTTCCCTAATCTGTAAAACAATGATAATAATATGTATAATACTTACCTCACAAGATTTTTGTGAGGAAAATTTTGCACAAGAATTTTGTGAGGAAAAGTTTAATTTAAAAGCCTTTAAGCCTAAATAAATATGACTTATTATCAGTTGAAGGATCTTAGGAAGTTAGTGAAAATATGATAGTACTCTTCAAATATTTGAAGGGTTGTCCTGTCAAGAGGGATTAAACTTGTTCTTTTTGGCCTGAGAGGGTAGAAGTAGCACCAATGGATGCAAGTTACAGGGAAGCAAATTTAGGCTACCTTTAAGAAAGTATTTCCTGATCATTTGACTGGCCCTAAAACAGCATTATCAGTTCCCCAGTCACTAGATAACTTTGAGCAATGACCAGATAACCACTTGTCAAGCATGTTGTAGATAGGATTTATTACAGAATCACACAGGTTCTTTACAATTCTGGTATTCTCTAATTAGATACACAGTACTGCAAGCCAGGGCTAGGAGCACAAGGGAGAGATCAAATGCATGCACACACACACACACACACACACACACACACAGAGTCATGCTGAACAGGAAATCCAGAAAGGGGGTGGAGGGAATTGGAAGGAAATGTAGTAGTGGAGAGTTAAAGACCCTTAGGCTTTGACCTCCTCCCAATAAAGTCAGAAGCCAGGATTATGTATTAATCAGAAATCAGATGAGACAGAATGTCCAGGCCAGGCAGCTAGTCAGCACAGCAGAATTAGAATGAATTAGACTAGAGACAAGACAACCTTGAAACTAATCCAAAACCCACCTTAAGCAGGTCATCTTGTATATCCTTCCAGTTATAGCAAGAACCAATTTTTAATGGTCTTCAAACAAATGGGCAGCTTAGGGTCTGGTGCTCAGAAAACCATTAGCTTTCAGCCATTCACTGAACTGGGAAGAGGGTGACAGTGAAAAGTACTAACATCATAGTAAATGTACAAAGAGACAGTTCCTGTGCACTGTGCAGTATTTTAAACACCTCAAGCTCATGAATGTTGTTATGTGTTTAGAAAGGTAACTAGTGTCGCTGATTCTTATCTTCTGGAAAACCATTCAGTGGATAGAATACTTCAATTCTTCAAGGATCTACACTTCCATTACTAATGCAGATCGTGGGTCTTAGATCTTTTTATGAATTGCTTTGGCTGAATGAAAATCAGCTCATGGTCATTGTTCTGGAGATGAGTTATTCTGGATTTAGCTAGGCTGGTGTTCATAAGCCAGACATACAATCCATGTCTGGGCCTATGCCCAAAGCCTTTCCAATTTGGTAGTACCTGTCAGAATTTCAGTCCTCCTGGCATAACCAACCTTTGGGAACTCAAGGTGCCAAAGAGACATCACAATGTGAATTTATTGAAAAAATGGACAAAATAGCTCAAAGTTTTTTAGTTTTCTTGGACCTGGAAGGAGCTGTAGAGATAATACAATAGTGATAATACCTTATAATAATTTAAGGTTTAAGGAAGAATTTGGTAATGGTTACCATCAGCTAGCTTTATTTTATTCAATTTATTAGAGACTTAGAAGGAACAATTTATAGTGAGTTTTTACCAAGGTGGGTTGCAAATAATTCAGTGGGAAAAAAGTAAAATAATTCAGATGAACTGGGAAACACATATATGTAAATAGTGACTTTCACAATTTGAGATACTAAAAAATTATATTCATTGAAATTCTAAATATAAAAATCAGTTTTGATGAGGAAAG